GGTGCTGGATTTGGGATGGAACCCGCCATGCATGGTAAGGAGCTTTCGAGTTTTAACATCCGTGGTCTGAATCTCTTCCTTTGGCCACCTGATTATTCCTGCAGGGTATCTGATCACTGGCAGGGCGTAGCTGTTAATTGCCCGGGCCTTGTTCTTGCCATTGAGCCGGCTTCTTAGGACCTGCCTTACTCGCTGGAGGTATTTGGCAGTTGCCGCTTTCCTCGTCACCTGTTCGAGGTTGCCATTTGCCTGTGGTATACCGAGATACTTGTAACTGTCCTCAACGTCTGCTATTGTTCCCTCTGGGAGTGAGATCCCTTCTGTGTGGACTACCTTGCCTCTCCGAGTCACCATCCTGCTACATTTCTCGAGCCCGAATGACATCCCGATGTCATGGCTGTAGATCCTGGTTGTTTGGATCAGAGAGTCGATGTCTCTCTCGCTCTTGGCGTACAGCTTGATGTCATCCATGTAGAGGAGGTGACTGAATGACTCACTTCTCTCCGAGCCGCCTTGATCTTAGCCTCCAACCGTCTTTTCCATGGTGGGTATTGTCCATGGCTCCCATGGTTGCTCTTATAGCCAAGCATCTCTAGGATCACTGCTGCTGAAGTGTATATCAGCTCATATATATATATATATATATTAGGGGCGGGAATTGATAGAAAAAAACAACAAGCTAATTGCGATTAAAATGCCCAAAAATTAATCACAGTTTTATTGACAGCTTCTAATAAACAACAAAGAAGACTTCCGTTTTATTTGTATGTTAAAAGAAGGATTTTAAATGTAACTCTTTACTCCAGAGGAAGCATGTCGAGTTATTTTAACTGGAGTTATGTGTTCCCTCCATCCTTGCTGCCGTTGAACGAGCTGGAAGTTATTTATTGACGAATTAGGGCACGCTGCAAAGCCTTACAGTAGTCAAGCCTTGAGGGGGCAAAAACGTGGATTTGTTTTTCTGCGTCACTTTTAGGAAAGATATTCCTGATTTTAGTGATGGACAGGGTGAAATATGCCGTTTTAGTTTCTTGGTTCATAAATGCCTTAACGGAAAGTGTGATTATCTGATCGGTGAGGGAGTCGTGCAGACGTTTAGGACCGAGTAGGAGCACCTCTTTTATATCGAAAAATAGAGAAGGAGGCATTTTGAAAACTGTGTTTTAATTAGCGTTGAGCTGAAACATCACTTGCAGAAGTGCCCCTGCAGATTAGAGCCCTGCACTTGAGCCCTAGGCCCGAGGGGCCCGAGGATCGGGCTTCGGGTCGGTGACCGTATAAATTACCTCGGACACGGGCCGGGCTCGGGCACTTTTATTTATTCATTTTCAAAGCGGCAGATTACATTTACAAACGCACCCAATGAATATAGCGTTCTATTACGCTGTCGTATTTGTTGTTCTGTGTAGTGTTGTCATTGACGACACATAGCGTAACCTTCAAGTGTGTTGTAGTTGATTGCGGCAGCTGTGTATCATACAGCTGCGGCCGTTCACTCCACACACACAGAATTCATTGCAACACATAACTCCGCCCTCTAGCCGGGCCTGTGTTCATATCAGTGCGCGGCACTATATAGTACGCTAAAACATTGTTATGGGAGGAGTAATACAGGACTTTGTGTCCGGTGTGGTCTGCTGGAGCAACAGCATCACAGAGAGGGACAGGAAGAAGCTGGACAAGGTCATCAGGAAGTCCAGCTCAGTCCTGGGCTGTTCCCTGGACACAGTGCAGCAGGTGGGGGACAGGAGGGTCCTGAGCAAACTAACATCTATGCTGGACCATGACTGTCACCCCCTGCAGGACACTCTCTCTGCTCTGGAGAGCAGTTTCAGTGCAGACTTAATTCATCCTGATTGGCTAAAGCAGGCTCTAAGAGCAACAGAAAGCACCAAAACAACCGGCATTTTTTAAATCCAGCAGAGTTAGCCTAGAAGCATTAGCCTAGCAGACACTGCTGGAAACAGCAAATAACACTGGCAAGACATAGGATAAATGGAAGGGTAATGAGGTGCAGGCAATTGCCTTCTACGGCACCATACAAATTCAGACGATGTTTGAGCATGGATCTATTATGAGTTAAAGGCATCACAGCGAAATGAAAAGATATATCAGCGCACCTTGAAGCACCGGGGATTCTTCACACATTAGAAACAATGCCGTGAAAAGTAAAAAAAGAAACAAGCATTAATATATAAAAACTCAAAGACCACAACAACTGGAGTGGTTCCGACCATACAATAAATAATTATTGATTTTGCTACAATCGAAACTCATTTTGCAGAGTGGTCCTTCTCTGCAGTGGAGACACAGCCCCTGAGAGGGCCGAGTGAGAGGACGGCTCCTGTAGATGTCCCACCCCCCTTCTTTTACCAGGAACTCCTGTGGTGGAAACGCTACTCATGCCTCCCTGGTGAGGTGCTCCCTGGACAAGCCAGAGGACTGTGTATTACGATAGAAAGACAAGTGAAAGACATTTGATTGACATGAACCTCATAAGAGGTTAATCCCAATGTACAGTATTGTAGTGAATGGTTTCTGTAAGAAATTCTATATACAACGTTCTTTGCTGTAAACATCAGATTATATCCATCTCTACTCTCTCTCAATCAGATTGATGTGGATGCTGAAATCAGTTAGTGTCTGACCGTGCAAGCAAGACAAAACCAGAGACGATGAGGAATGGGATCAGGGAGAAAGATGAAGCCGGGCTGAAAGAGTGAGGAGGAGTTGGGGGAATCAGCGCATCAGGACCAGAGGCGGTGTGAGGCAAAGGAGCATGATCACTATCCATCACTGTATCCACTCCCAGTGCATTAGTCTGGTGACATGAGCGATTACCCCAAGTGTCTGAATACTGAAGACTAGTCTGTGCGCGTCTCATTATTGATGAGGGGAGCCGGGGGTGCTATGGGGCTGCTTTGGGGCCCGGGCACGCCTCTCTGATGGCAATGGATAACTGTGACCTGCCACAAGGTCTTAGTAGCTACAGCAGTCATCTATCAGGCCAGCTTTGATCAGCCGCTACCTGTGACCCTGGAGAGATTAGAGGCGTTTAGAGGCATTGCCAAGTGAACTGGTCTGCAGAGTCTGGTCTCTGTGGGTTTGCATCTATTTAATGACATTTGGAAAGAACTGGTATACAGGGACTCTTGCTGATCCAAAGGGAAAAGATATTTCTACCTTTAGTTGAACTATTTCCTACAATTTATATCGGGACTTAATGTCCTTTTCATTTATGTAGGGAATGTTTGAGATCCTCAAGTGTTTTGTAATACTTTGTACTAGTACCGAGTTTAAGTATTAAGTTATGATGTTATGTTGCTGTTTATCGATCCTGATGGTCACACGTGAATGTATGACCAGAGGGGGGAATGCGAGATTTCATAACACTTTGAAGCAACTATTGTTAAAGTTCAAACTCATCCTTATTACATTTGCACGAGCCAGTACTTTTCCCTTGTTTTGACTTCTGAAGGCCAAGCTACATGGCACCGTGGCAGCTGCTGATTGGAGGACTTCTCCCATGCTATATTATCTCAACAGTTTGTTACATCCTTTGTTCGTGTTGTTCGTGCTGTCTCTACCATCGACAAAACTTTTGTCTGAATGAAAGACGCGATCCCAGACTTTGCCATCTTCTTCACTAGTAATGTATATATAGGGCTGTCAAACGATTACAATTTTTAATCGAGTTAATTACGGCTTAAAAATTAATCATATAAAATATTTCAGTATTTTCATGTAAATGGTTGTTTGAATGGAAAGATAAATCACAGCATGTTGTACATATGTACTGTATTTGTTTATTATAACAATAAATCCATATAAAATGGCATTAACATTATTAACATTCTGTCTTTCTGTTTAGACTCAGACCAAAACTATTGTTTGTTACAGACGAGGGACATTTAAAACAGTCTGAAGCAGAATGTCATTAAATCTGTTTGATTTGCTCACACCATTACTTTTTTTTGGCACAACCAACATTAACTAATAGTGGAAGGGAAAAATAGGTACCTCAGCTTTAATTTAGCGAGTGCGCTTCGGGAGAAAACACGGAGGAGACTGAGGCTCCGTTGTCCAGCTTCAGAGGTGTATTTATTGTGTGCACCGGTTATGCAAAGACACGCACACTACAATCACAGAATGGTTCTGTGCGTTTATGGTCTTGGATATGACGTTCCAGGAGCGCCGTGCGGAACGTCATGTCCGCCCAGAGCGCCCGCAGCTCAGCTCGCAGGGTTCATACAGGAAACAGCAGCAAGTGCCCCGCGGTCTTTTAAAACGTGGATTCCCAGAGGGCCTAACTGCTCTGTCACAATCTTATGTGTGTGTCCGCGGCAGTCTGAGTGTTATTATGGGATGCATGGGCATGTGTTAATCGCGTTAATTTTTTTAATTCGATTAATGAAAAAAAATTACTTGCGTTAACGCGATCATTTTGACAGCCTTAATATATACATCATATATATATATATATATATATATATATATTATTCTGGAGGGGAAAACTTTCCAGCACAATGAAATTACTCAACTTGGTAACATTCATTATATTAGCTTGGTCTGTTTATGTTCCATATTTGTATTTATTTGTGTTCTACTTTCAGCATATGTGAATGCATTACCATTTAAAAAGCCTTCTTCATGTCTTTTATATTAGACAAAAATGTATTTCTGTGTTGATTAAAATGACAAAGGCTCTCAGCACATTGAAAATTCACATTTATAGTGCTGCTTATTCTACACAGTTTCTCCACCGCAGGAGCATGCGTCCGGATTATTGCACGTCTCAAAGGGGAACAGACAAAATAACACATAACAATGTGCAAGAGGCGCTCATGAAGCTCCCTAATTAGTTTGGTGTTTTTTTCTCTTCTCTTTTAACTAATTCATAATCGTGCTCATGGAGATGAAGTGGGAAGTGTGCTCCAAGCTGCGCCTATAGAGCTAAACCAAAGAGGAGCAGAAGAAAGGCAAGACGAGTAGCAGCACAGATGGAAGAATCGCTCATGCTGGGGCACAAAATTGAGCCTTTCCTTTTGCAGAGCTGTCAGTGTGTTAAGGGCAGCTACGGTAAATGCCAAATGCACTCACATTTGCATTTGATGAAGAATAAAAATACTGTAATGAAAGTGCGGCGTTGAGATGTGTTGGCCCATTCATCAGCAGCTATAGGTTTATTTTTATAATAAATAACAGCTTTAGGCGTTGTCGCAACTCGCAATTATAAAAGTTCTATTGACTTAAATGGCATAAGAACACCCCATGATGGCTGAGGGGGTAGTGCCCATGCCTCACAACAAGAAGTGCCTTTCCACAGTCATTATCTTTTTTGGCCAAGTAAAAATCGGGCTATTTTGGTTCTTTTGTAAGACTATATATGATTATACATACAATAAGGAAAGATAAATTATAGTATGGTCTTCCGAGTCACTGTGGCCAAAAACAATAACTTCCTTAATGTATTATTTTTCAAGAAAGAGATGGAGATGATCCGAAACACCTGCTGGAATGGAGCTGTGCCCAGAGTAAGTAAGTCATCTTTTTTTATATAGTGCCTTTCACAGACCAGAGTTAGGGTATATATATGACACATAAAACCGTCATCCAGGGTTGATTTTTTTGATCCAAGACTTAATCACAGCTAAATGGACCAATAAACACAATGGAACTCAAGCAGTTCGTTAAAATTGTCAACTTTTCTCTTTGTTTTATTCAGCCTCAACTACAGCAACTTACTTTTGTCCAACAAGACTCTGGCTGAAATTTCACCACTCAAGTCCACGGGGGGTAAAGCCAATGCGATTTCACACAGAAAGCCTTTTCTTGCATCCCGGCTCAGCGCTGTATTAAAAGACTACCTTTGGAGTGGCTCTCTGCGTCTGTAGGCCAATAAGTCCACCTTTTCAATCACAGCAGTGGGTCTCTCAAAACAACACAACAACCACACGGGAGCAAACCAAACTTCAGTCACCGTGTCTCAAATTGGCCCAAAACAAGAGCTGACCATGCAAGTTGAGTCCTTTTAAGGTGCTATTGGTTTCCCGCAGAGTTTACAGTCACACAACTTTAATTGAGCTGCGACCATCTGCTTCCTTCGAAATTCCAACAGATGAAGTCAGTTCTGTGCACAAAGGTCCCTCAATCACATTTCTACTGCCTAAAAACTTTGCCTATGTTAATGTCTGCTTCTTTGTTAGTTAGTAAGAAACTTTTACAATTTATGGACTTATGTGTTTGTGTGGATGGATGTTAAAATCAGGGTTAGATGATTTTATAAGATCACAGCCTCACACCCTCTGGTGACTGGAGGGCCTGCATAAGCACAGTTGTTAGATATCTGGAACTCTCACATGATGTGACTTAAACAATGACATGAATCAGAGAAATGTAATATAACAAATACTCAACTTCGTGGTTTGTAGAGAAAGGTCTTTTATGGACAGGAGTTCAAATTGAAGCGGCACATGCGGTCCGTTCAATCAGAGACTCTCTCGAATATTTACAAATGCTGCTTATATAGCTTTGAGCGACCGGGAGGAGTTAAGCAATGTAATCATCAGTAATTAAGTTATGGTCTTGAATTAACCTGTAAGTGGCTGGCATGTAAGATATAAGATGAACAGAGTAGTATAAAGTCAAAAAATCATTGATGCTAGGACTGGTTTATGATGCTACGTAGGAGGCCAGTCGTTAGACCACTCACAATCATCATTGCGTGGAGCTTCGCAGGTGGCTTTCTTTCCACCATTCAAGACCTGTTCTTAAGCTGTACGGTTAGCACTTAAGAGCGAATAGTTGGCTCTCAGCTGCCCCTGCGATTAAAACGGCAGAGACAGATTGACGGGGTAATAAGGTTCTAACATGGCTTCCACACGGTATGTAAAGGCTTCAAACATTACAGGCATAAACGGACATAGACCAATTGTTCTTTTCATCATATTTCACAGTGAATGTTAAAAAATATCTCAAGGATCAGGCTTCAAAATTAGTGTAAACGTTAAAGGCTTGAACCTTTTCTAACTCAACTCAATCATGAACAAAAATACTACAAGTCACACTTTGGGCGTCATGGATATGGATTAAATAGAGCTGTATAGTATTTATTTATTTATTTTTTCAAAGGGATGGACGTTACCATTAATCTACAATATACTATGCAACATACCATAACCTCTAGTCTAAAATATTTTTCCAAGCAACTTTCTCAACACTGTATGTCAAAGCGTTGAGGCTCTGTAAACACTGGTCAGTTGTATTTGCTGCAAAAAAACACTGCTGCAGCGAAGACATGAAAGGACTGTCAAAGTCAATGCAGCGCTGTCAAAGGAAAATTAGGGTTTCTGCAGCGTTTCAAACCGTTACATCATAAGACATTACGCTATTTTTATATAAGTTTTTTGTCATTCTGTCAATTGTGCTCATGGTGGAAAGTTTGTGAAGCTTATTCACACAATGCCCAAGCTCTTTGTCAACAAATGAAATAATTATACTTTTATTTAGGAACAAGGACCTGTCACCATCACCCTAGCCTGGCCTTATCCATCTGTACACTCAATCATCATTTGACTGCATTTAACGTCTGGGTCTGGTCCCTGTGTTAGCGATTACGATCGGTTGAATTTCGACCGACAAATCAGCGAGCGTGGGAGGGTGTTGTTGTTAGTTGTGGGTGATGTCAAGAGTTTGCGTCGAACGGGAAGGTTGTAGTTTGGCAATGGCGAAAAATGTGACAGTAAAGTAATTCGTCGGGTTCTATCAAGAAATTGAAGCCGGAGCAAGGGTAATGTTTAGCAAATGTAATCGCCGGAAAAATTGTGGCGCTACTCCCCACGGGCTCCGTTAGCGGCAAAGAAGAAGGCTAAATGCTAAATGCTAACAACAAACTCGGGCGCACTACAAACGTCACGGTAAACTCAGATCCAATCGTTTCAATCTGCAAAAGGAGTTAACCCCTCCCACTTGTTAACAGAGCTCAACGGAGCACGTCCAGACCTTAGTACGAAATGTCATTTGTACTATGGTATGGTACGACCAGGCTACCATCACCCATGACAACAAAACAACTGGACAGGGCCTTAGCAGTATCAGGAAGTTTACTTTATATTATTCTGTGAGCACAGATTAATTATAAACAATGATATAACATAGTCCTTTCATACGCTTCATGGCATAATTGTGGCTACATTAAGAGTTTATTGTAAACTACAACAGGTCTGAGTTAACTTCAATATATTTCAAAAATATTTGCGTTGGTGGTAAAATGTTTAATGTGATTGACACGGTCGTTACTTTGAAAAGAGCACTAAAAAGAGATTTTAAATGTTAGAATACAGAACTGCATGCAATAACACATAGAGATACTGCATTGTTTTCCTTGTCATTCGATTAAAGCTGTAAATGTCCACATGTCTATCTTTTCTGTTATTATTTACTCGTGTCCTCATCTAGGCCAGTTGATGTGGGACCGCCAAACAAGCTTCCACGTCCCGGAGAGCCCTCAGAGAAGAGAATACTCGGCTCCAAGCGAACTCAAACATGTGCCAGAGGACAATGTAGCGCAATCACTTTCACAATAGAACATTTCAGCTGAGTCAGTGATGATTTAAGCATTGATTAAAGATTTATTTTCAGATGAATTCGGAAGCTGTGCCAATGGGAACGCCCAGAGAAATATGAAAATATAATGACTACAATTAAATGAGATTTGTGTTAACTTAGTTTTTGCTCTTTGATTCCTAAGAGAGCAGAGATTGTGTTTTGATGCATTGGACTGATATCATGTGTGTACAGAAATCTACTATTTAAATGTACATTTTGTTACAATACAAGACAAGCTTCATCAGGTTTTATCACTTGGACCATTATTCTTACTGCTAAAGGCTCTAATTCTATGTAGTTACTCAAATTGAATGCATCATTCCTACAGTGTTAAGCTCCACAGATATCGTGGCCAAATTCAATTAAAACTGCACCGGATCATATTATTTTAATTGAGGATATTAATTTTCATTCATCTTCGTCTTTTTTAATTAATTGTAATTTTGTCCACTGTAGCTCTCAGTGAAACCCATACAAAAAGTAATTAGATTTTATAATTCCATTTATTGCATTCCTTCCTCTCTGCTTTTGGAATATTACAGTTTTACAGGCGTTCTCCACACTGATCACATTGAACTATTCTGCAAAAATCATCACGTATAAGTGTTTCAGTTACTGACTAAGGCTGGGATGAACAGTTATGTTTTAGACGATTAATCTAACGATTATTTTTCAATGCATCAATTAATCTAACTTTTTTTTTTTTTTTTTTTATTCTTTATTTGAATTGGGACAGTGCACATTAATCAACATGTGTTTTTTCAACATGTAAATGCGCCGGAGTTAGCCATATAGGCTAATTTTCATCCGTAGTCCCATGGCAGGTTGATGTCAAGATAGGTAGTATAGGACATACAACAGGCACAAACATACAGCAGAAACACCATCACAGAGACATAAAAAGACAGTGAAAGAAGAATACAACATATAGTTAAAAATGCAAGGAATATATAAGAATTTGTTCAACTAAAAAATCAGAAAGGGACAATACACACAACACCATAATCTTCCACACAGCAAGACATGTATCAGTGTTTGGTGACTTTAGTTCATGTTGTGTTCACATGTCTGATTGTCCAAAAGCCACTTCTTCACAGAGTTCCTAAAAATGTGAAATGAGGTCAGGTTCCTCAATTCTGTTGGAATCAAGTTCCAGGAATGTGCTGCGCGTACTGAGTAGGCAGATTGTCCAAATGAAGTCTTTCTAAATGGGATTCTACAGTCTCCTCTGCTTGATGAGCGCGTGTTTTTATTTACATTCAGCTGTATAAACTCCTGTAATGGAGGCGGTGCAAGTCCATTTAGGGTTTTATAGACCATAATTACATCAGAGTACATTATCAACTGATCCCACTTTAAGAAATTATGTTTGGTAAAAACTTTACAGTGGTGATATGAATTATTCTTTTTGTCTAATGTTTTTACTGTCTGCTTATATAGTCTTTCTATGGGCAACAGTGTAGTCTTGTTGGCCTGAGACCAACTCGTCATACAGTAATTAATATGCGAGAGAATTGTGGCGTTTAGGTATAATTTTGAAACATCAGTTGTTAAGTTATTTCTAATGTGTTTAAAATTCACTAAATTGAATTTAATTTTGTTCCTCAATTTCTTAACATGTTTTTTAAATGATAATTGAGAATCCATGGTGACACCTAAATACTTGTACTCTTGCACAACTTGTAGTGCTTGCCCATTCACCAAAACTATTGGATCGCTCTCTTTAGTTGCCGACTTAGAGAAGAACATACACATAGTTTTATCAGTATTTAAGTGTAATTTTGAATTTTTTAACCAGTCACAGACTGACACCATTACAGATGACAGCTTCTCTGCCGCCAGCTGTTTCGTTTTTTTTTTTTCAGTCCATTTCGATTTCGATTTGATTATTGATTATTTCCCCATTAATTGACTAATATCAATGTATACACGTTGATTTACATCAATTTTGATTTATTTTCCTAAACAAAATATATTTATTGCTCCTAAAAATTTAAAAAATAAGACATTCTTAGTCAGAGGTGCATAAAACCTTGAAGCCTTGAAAACACATCTACAGTAGCTTACTGAAAAAAGTGCTTTCTGAACACCCTTAGCGTCTGAAATTTAGAGAACGTGTGTCTACTGCACGTGGAAACTGCGTTCAAGCGTTCGCGTGGCTACTACCGCTACTACTTGCTGCCATCTTTGTTTTGAGTCTGACAAATCAACGCGCATATTTGACGTCATCGATTACGTCGACGTGTTGTCCCAGCCCTATTATTGACAGAAACATTTTTCACTGTAAATAATCCCTTATTTGAAATATTGTTTCATTCAGGCTGATAAAATGATGTCACCTTGTATTTGTTGAAATTTGAACTATTTTTTCTTGTAACTTCATTGCATGTTTTAAAGAGTTTCAGGGAATTAAGTTTTCAACCAAAAATCAAATTTAAACCAGATGCTTTTGCAATGAAGTCTGCACTTATGATCCATGGGATCAGACGGTTTTCTGTGGACAACCACTGATTACAGATCCCTTTAAAAAAAAATAATGGTCTATTTTTTCACCTGCATTCTCAACCAATGGTTCTGTCTGCTGCACGAGTAATCGCATACAAAATAAACATTTATGCAATTGTTAATTGCAAACATAAAGCAAAATATTAAATGTGGTTTGCATTCTTCATTCATGAAGCGTCATTCCTCTCGAAACGTCTGATGTTTTTTTTAAAGTATATACACTACCGTTCAAAAGTTTGGGGTCACTCAAGTGTTTTCCATGAAAAGTCAAACTTATTCACCACCATACGTTGTGAAATGACATTGACAAGGTTAGAAATAATGATTTGTATTTGAAATAAGATTTGTTTTACATCCAACTTTGCTTTCGTCAAAGAATCCTCCATTTGCAGCAATTACAACATTGCACCAAAAACCAGACATTTGCAGCTAGAATAGTCATTTACCACATAACAATGTATAGAGTGTATTTCTTTACAGTTTAGACTAGTTTAAAGTTATCTACAGCTTTTCCTTCATAAATAAGGACATTTCAATGTGACCCCAAACTTTTGTAAGTCCAAAAATTTCTACATAATTCACACCTTTACGTATTATTATTCTTATTCAGTTAATAAAACCCTGTTTGTACTGTTCTTTCTGGTATAGATGTTTGTTGTCTGATTTTTTGCACTACAGTCTGTGGTGTTTGCTCAGACACAATAGCAGCTGATTGCACTGCCATCTCATAATGTTAGTATTACTGTTTTAAAACCCATTTCTTTATTCTTTATGAATACATCATCCAGAATTTTAATTACAGACTAACATGTGCAGCCTTCATTATCTGCCATTGTGTAAAATGCAGCATTTCATATTACACTGTTTTATAATCTTTGTAGAAGAAATACTTTTGATTGGACTTGCTTTTCCAAGATATATAGTTTGAATTAAAAACTGAATCGTGGAAGAATGCAAATTTTAGTAATAACAAGGAATCTCTTGTCAACCCATCAAAACATTTTCAAACTAAACGAAGACAAAGCTTTCATCCTACGCCTATTGGTTATTCTATATTTAATCTCAATAGTTTACTCACATAATGAAATGAACACAGTAATACTTTCTGTGATTTATAAATTACTCACATGCATAATATTTATTTTGGGACATAAACAAATGCATAACGTTATTGCATTAAAGTGATAGTCTGTAACTCTAAATGAATTACACATTTTAAGAATTGTGTTAAATTGACCTCCTGGCCTTAAATGTTGATATAAAATAAGTCATTTTATGAATTCTAATATTACAGTTAAGTCCCGCCTTCCCTTCTCTTAGCTATAGCTCAGAATCCTCGATGCCGTCCACTTTAACCAATCAAGTGATGCCAAGGGCTGTCAATCATCAGCGCTGATGCTCGTAGCTGCTCATGCTCAGTTTGTTGTTTTTGCGGAGCCTCCGAATCAAGCCTCCATTTATATACTGAACCTATATCCATAATCATTTATATACTGAACCTATATCCATAATCATTTATATACTGAACCTATATCCATAATCATTTATATACTGAACCTATATCCATTATCAGATCCTCTGCAGATGTGTCCTATAATGTGCAGTTTTTTTCATTAAAACGTTAACAAATAATTCTGAAAACCTCCGTGCATGTGTATTAATAATGTATATGTATAATGTGTTCTCTGATTAACATTTAAAAGTGTTACGGAAACGTAGGTGTAGATCAGAAAGGAGCTTGCGTCGTTTTTTTCAAATCAAGTACCTCTCTGTCTCTCTTTCTGACAAACTCCAGACAAGCACTTTAATGTGAGTGAACAGAAATAGTAGCTTGGATTAATTTAATTTAATTGAAACGTTTGCTCCAGACCCACTGCACAGCTGCCTGATTCAGCTTTTAATATCATAACAGCTGAAAATAAAGCAAAGTATTATTGTCTGGTAGAAAAAGTATATTGCTAAGCTGGGAATACACAGCAATTTTAAGCACTATAGTTTGCCAAACGATTTTGTCTCACAACAATTTAAAGATTGCACCAACATTTGTGTCCTCCGTGCGCCTGAGTTGCACAGTGGACAATAACTTACGACCTGTAATCTTTATGTCAAGATGAGCTCACGACTGCACATTTTGTGATTGTGGGGATATCAAACTTATTTGATATTTGACCTCAGTCATAGTCTCTGAGCACTACTTCAGCACGGCACGAGGAGGACTGGAGGAAGACTGTAGCAGGACTGGAGCAGGACTGAAGGGGGTCTGAAGGCTTTGGGAAGACCACAGTACTGCAAACTCGTCAACAAGATTCAAATGGGAGCAATAATGATATTTGGTTTGTAAGTAAGCTTTATTTATACAGCGCCTTTCACAGACCAAGGACACAAAGCGCTTCACAGTAAAAACAGGTAAAAAAAAAAAAAAAAAAAAATACAAGTTAAAATAAATGTAAAATGTACGTACAAAAAATAAAAA